CCAAGCTGGCCCCGTGATAGCATTCAGCTCGGCTACATTTCTGCTGCTCCGGGGTCACAATCCTTTGATCCAGTAGATGCTTAAGCGGTTGTTGGTCGGTAACAATCTGAAAACGTCGGCCTAATAGATAAGGCCTCCAGCACCTTACAGCCTCGACAACTGCTAGCATCTCCTTCACGTACACCGAGAGACCCAATCGTGTAGGGCCTAGGGCCTTGCTGAGATAAGCTAAGGGTCGTCCCTCTTGCACTAACACAGCTCTAATTCCAATGTCACTCGCATCGGTGTGTACCTCGAATAAGACATCAAACCTGGGCATGGCGAGTACTGGCGTTGTAGTCATGGCTTCTTTCAGTTTCCCAAACGCCTCCTCGCTAGCTTCTGTCCATGTGAACCCGTCTTTCTTTGTCATCTCTGTCAGTGGTTTGGCGATGGTCCCATAATCCTTCACGAACTTTCTGTAGTAGCCCGTGAGTCCCAGAAATCCCCTCAGCTGTGTGAGACTTGTCGGTTTTGGCCAATCGACCATAGCCTCAATTTTTCGTGGATCAACCTTCACGCCCTCGTGTGATATGAAGTGCCCCAGATACTCAACCATCATCTGCCCGAATGAACATTTGGATGGCTTGATGTGGAATGAGTTGGTCTCCAAAATTTCGAGCACCACTCTCAAATGCCCAAGATGTTCGCCCCACGACTTCGAATATATCAGGATATCATCAAAGAATACCATAACGAACTTACGCAGATACTCCTTGAAGATGGAATTTATAGCGAACTGGAAAGTGGATGGGGCGTTGCACAATCTGAATGGCATGACTAGATACTCATAGTGCCCCTGGTGCGTACGGAATTCTGTCTTTGGAATGTCGGCCTGATGGAGTCGAATCTGATGGTAACCAGCTCTGAGGTCGAGCTTTGAGAAATAGCGTGACCCGGCTAACTCATCGAGCATGTCGTCAATGCTAGGGATAGGAAATCGGTCCTTGATAGTTGCAGCGTTCAGAGCTCGGTAGTCAATACAGAACCTCCATGTGCCGTCTTTCTTTTTAGCTAACAAGACTGGAGAAGAAAACGGACTCTTGCTATGCTGGATTAGTCCTGATTCAAGCATCTCGGCCACTTGCCGTTCGATCTCGGTTTTCTGAAAGTGAGCGTACCTATAAGGATGAACGTGTATGTCGTGCTGCTCATTGATCAGTGGTATGCGATGATCGAACTCCCGGTGTGGGGGTAGTCCCTTAGGCTCGCCCAGTACTCCCTCAAATTCCTTGAGAAGCTCACGCACATCTCCCTGCTGTTGCTCCTTTTGGTCTATGTGCGCCTCAGTTTTTTCTACAACTACTGCAAATATTTGGCCTCCACCCCGCCAAACTTTCTCAATGCTCTTGAGTCCTACTTCCTTGGTACCTTTTCATTGCCAGTACTCAGAGTGACTTGCTGACCTCCGGAGTTGAACTCCATAATTCCTGTTCGATAGTCGGTGGTCACTTTGCCTAACCCTTCGAGCCACTGTACTCCTAGGACGACATCCGGCCCAACCAGGGGTAAGGCACAGAGATCATCCTTCACCGTAACTCCGCTGAACCTGATTGGCACCTTCCGGAAGGATTTAGTGCATTGCAGCCTCTCGCCATTGGCTACTCGTACCTCAAAAGGCTAAATCTTCGTGGTTGGTAAGTTCAGCTTCTGGGACAAGTCGACATTGATGAAGTTGTGTGATGACCCGTTGTCCACTAGCACCACCACCTTCCGATCCTTGACCCAGGCCGGCAATCGCATCGTTCGGGACCCTCTAATCCCGGCCATAGCATGCATCGAGATTTCTGCTTCTTCGTCGGGCCCCTTAACTTCAATATCCTGATGTGGTTCCTCCTCGTCCTCAGATCCTTCCTCATCAGGATTAGCAACTTCGATCACAAAAGCTTGCTTACACTGATGACCTGGTGTAAATTTCTCCTCACACTTGAAGCATAAGCCTTTCTCACGTCGACGTTTAACTTCCTCGGGAGACAGTCGTCTCACTATCGACCCTGCTGGCCGATTGCTGACGTTCGGCCGTGCGCTGACCGTGGTTTGGTTCGGTCCCGTGCGTCACGTGTCCGCGAATCGCACATCCACCCCTCCCCTTCGCGTAGCGACCAGATGGTCTTCTCGTCGATGGGCCACATCCATGGCGTTATGCATCGTGCCTGGTCGCTCCAGTCGGACTTCTGCGGCTAGATCGAATCTCAACCCTCCTACGAAGGCTCCTACTAGCGCATCCTCAGACCAATCTCGCACGCCACAGGCTAGTCGTTCAAACTCCTTGATGTATTCACGCAAACTGCCTGTCTGTCGGATTCGTGCGAGGGCCTCATTATAATTATGGTAATCGGATGTTCCAAATCGTGTGAGCAATTCTCTCTCAAAGTCAGCCTATGTAATGACCTGTTGCCGCCTACGGTACATCCTTGAGAGCCACTGCCACCATACGTTGGCCTCTCCATCCAAATAGAATGCTGCGTACCTCACTGGATCGTGGCCTTCGGTTTCATTCAGTTCGAAGTATTGCGCAATTCGGTTGATCCACGCCTCGGGATCACTACCTGTGAAGATGGACATCACGAACCTCGGCTTGTCGGGCTTAGGCCGCTCACGGTAGGTGGACGCCTGCGATCGCTGATCGAACTCCTCCTCGTGCTCGTAACCCTCGCGTCGCCGGTCCTCGTCCTGTTCGCGCGCAAGCCGTTGCTCGCGTCGATCCTCGCGCCGTGGGGATAGTGTGCGATCGGCATGCTCAGCGTGCCGGCGTGGTTCGCGCCTTGGGGGATCGTCGCGGTGAGGTGGTTGCTGCTGGATCGCGCGCAAGACTTCCTCCAATCGCTGTTCGAGTCGTGTGACAACGGCGTTGGTGTTATTTTGACTTTCGTCAAGCGATCCAAGCCTTCCTTCCATTACCTCGCTCATACTCCGCATCTGGATGTCAAGATTATCGATCTTATCCTTCATCTCTTTGTTGGCCATAGCTTTTCTTTCTTCTCTCCGCTCCTTGCTTTGTGGACTCGTGGTTGAAGATGATGATGATGATGAAGAACGAATATATATATATATATATATATATATATATATATATTTTTATAAAGGGGGACGAAAAAACGAAAAGAAAAAGAAAGGGAATGGGGTAGAAGAAAAACACACGATCAACACCTCTCAATGAAAGCACCAATAATGAGGATCGTGTGTTTCGACTGCCGATAAGCCGCTAACCCGCGCCTTGAATCGCCGATAGTGTTTCTCTAGCCACAACCGCGCCTATTGAAACGAATAAAATTGCAATAGTATTCTGGTGAAAAGACTAAAGCAAAGTTGGAAGAACAAAGTTCTAGATTTCTATTGACTTCTTGGATGATTAAAAATAACATGGGGATGGGGCCTTTATATAGGCACAAAATTATATCTAAGCCTAATCTACCTAGGGAAATAATAAAGTAATAAAATATTAGGAATCCTAAACAAGCTAGAAATCTTAATGAAATAAGGGAACTAAATATCTTGGCTTGCACACCAAGTCTTCCAACCGCCTCTCTCTCTCTCCTACGCGTGCACAAGTCGGCCACCGCCTCTCGCCTTGCCCTAGTCCTCGAGGACTAGGGCGCCGCCTCCTTCGCTTGCATGCCCGCATGCCGTGTCGCGTGCGCCTTCGCTGCCAGCCGCCTCATCATGCGCGTGGTGCCCTGCCAGTCCGCATTCCTCGAGGCATGAGGCATCCAGCTCCGCGCGTGCCTGTTCGTCATGTGCGCTCCGCGCGCCCCGCTCGTTCATCCCTGCTGCGTGCGTCTCCGCCAATCGCCCGCGTCCCGTCAGCGCTTGCGCCCATCGCTTCGCGTGTACTGCTGCCGCGCGCTACGCGTACGCCCGTACTTGTCGCGCGCTGGCCATCTTCGCTTGTCCCACGCGCACTACTCTCCAGTGCGCGCACTTCTGCTGCTTCCCGTGCTAACCTCTTACGTGCGTGGTAGGCGCGACTCGCGGCGTTCTTGAGTTGCCTAGCCACTTCCACATCACGGCGTGCTGGTGCGAGGTCGCGGGCCTAGCCACGAAGGCGCGAGCGCCTGGGAGCTGCTGGGCCTGTGCGGGCTGCCTCGGGCCTGTGCGGGCCTGGGGCCATTTTTTGAACACTTAGCCATATTTTGAGTATTTTTGAATGATTTTCGACCCGATTTCACTCAAATCTCATCCACACCTCCCGGAACCTTCTCGATAAAAATTTTGGCCCGACACTAACAGGTCGGCACGGGCACTTCTCAATAATTTCCATACTTAGCCCCAAATTTTCATCTCCTCATCAAATTTTCAATCAAATCTCGACCTCGAAACCCGTTTTCAGCCTCGAAAATCATGCGTGTCGTGCGGCTCGTGGAGCTATTTATTCTCGAACAAAAACGAAAAACTGGAAAACGCTAAAACCGTGGGTTGCCTCCCACGAAGCGCTCAATTTATTGTCTTGAGCTCGACCTTCCCAACGAAAATCAACCGGGATCTAGGAAAAAGTGTCGATCATGCCACGACTTTGTATTTTCCAAGAGAAGTCCCGACGGTTGTACGGAACAAAGGCGCGCAAGGTAAGCTCTCGTGGCCGCGTTCTTGTGAAACCGAGCACGAATTTCGACAACCAACAAGAGGAGGGATAGATCTTTACGCATCACGGCCCCATAGTCGACCTCCGAAAATATGAATATATCCGTGGAGCATGTCGAAATCATCCCGGGAATCACAAGTGTTATCACGGACGTGTAGTTAACAACCTCAATCATCGGGAGCACGAATGTGAACTCCTTCTCTTTGTCACAATCCTCGATAACATGAAATGACGCCCCAAAGGACATGGGCACCACCTTATCCTCAACATCCCAAGGCATCTCATCCACACACGGCACATCCGGCTCAACAACATCATCTAAATGCTCGGATTCCTCCTCACTACCATTATCATTCTCCTCCTCATAAACACCAACACCTTAATTACCCCTCGGCTCACTCAAATCCTCAATTGAATTATCTCCCAATCCATCCTCAACATCAACTTCCGAAACCATACTCTCCTCCTCAACAATCGAATCAAAACCCAAAGCACCATCAACGGAAGAAGATTTTGACGTACCTAGTGTAGAGTGCAAGTCCACGTCATCACAAGGAGGAAGTTCTTCGACAATAAGCTCATCGATGTCCTCACTCGTATCTAAAGGTTGAGTCCCATCGTACACGGGAGTGAGGCCCTTCTCTTTCAAGGAAACAAAACGATCCACCATACCTCGAAATTCGCTCTCTAATCGAGTGCTCTCTCGAATAAGCTTTGCCGATAGAGTAGAATATCTATCGAGCGGAATAGAAGATGAATCCAAGTCGAGAAAAGACACCACGGTGGAGTCGAACTTCTCAAGTGTAGCACGGAGAACGGGTGGAATCGGGATGCACCTCCAACTATTAAACTCCTCGATGATCGACGCGAGGCTCGCGAGTGCGTCTTGAGTACTCGCCAAAACTTCTTGGTGACGATCGATCGGCCCAACCTCGAAATGAAATGAAGCTCGAAGACTAGATGAACGAGGTTGGCCAATCGATGGGTGCTCAAATACTGAAGAGGGAAAAGTGAAGGACTCGGTTTCTTCTTTTTCGGATAGGGAGGCCAATGAAGCACGAAGGGATTGAGTGTCCTCCTCCAACTTTGCCATGATCTTTTCTAATTCGGTTGGAGGGGCCCGAGTCGGCTCGGGTGGAGGCATAACATCATATGAACCGGGAGGTGGAAGATAGTAGAGAGGCGTCTCGTCATAAGCCGGATAGTGATCACAATAATCGCATTGGGGTGTGGAATAAGGGTGGCTCGGGCCAAATGAGTTCATCTCCCCTTGAGAATTGTCTGGGTATCCACGAAATGAGCTTCCGGCATAATAGTGAGAATAGGAATTCATCCGGGCTCCTCAAGCGTAATACCTCGCACAAGAACAAGAAAAACAACCCAAGGCACACGAGGCAAGAGAGAGAATAACAAAAAGCGAAACTAAAAACACATAATATTTACACGGGCACGAAAGGCAAAACAAGAGAAGTCGAAAAACAAGGCAATAATCAAGAGAAACACGCAAAAACAAACAAAATCCACAAAAAGCAAGAGAAACACAGAAACAAACGACAACTAGATAGCAAACTTGGCGTCCTATTCGCCTTCCCCGGCAACGGCGCCATTTTGTTTATAGTATTTTTGGGCATGTGGTAACCGAGTTACCCGACTCGGGTCGTTCTCAAAGGAAGGCTCTTCGGAGCTTCGTTCACTATCTAGTCGTCAAAGTCATACAACCGAAAACAAGGTCCTAAACATGCTACTCGCTTGATTGG